CGAAGGACGTGCCTAATCTAGGATTGTACACACTGACCTGGAAGGGACCTTCGAGGCCATCCGTTCGAATCCCCTCATTTTACAAATAAGGAAGCTGATTTGCTCAAAGTCGCCCAGGAGTGTGGCTCTGGTAACAGGTCAGAGTGGACAAGTCCTGTCCACTGCCAGCTTGGCCACATGGTGTGGAATTTTTCAGCCTCAGCAATGCATAAAGACTTAAATCACAGAGGAGTTCCACCCTATATTAACAGAGGCAGCTCCCACCATGATGAAACCACAGATGCTTGAAGAATGATAGCATTGAAGCCTGAAATCCACCTAATTTATTCAAAGGAATAAACAGCTGAGTTGTCAGGGAGATCATTTTTAAAGAACACATATGAGCTCATGGGCACTTACCTTCGGTGGGGTCATGGGCTTGACAGCCCTGCTGGAGGCTAGAGCTGAGTGTAGAGCCCAAACACTGGGGAGCATGGCAAGGCAGATGCCTGGCACTTTATCCTCAAAGCAGCATTTTCCACATCCCCATTTTTCACTAGAATCAAACCTCCTCAGCTGCCAGAGACATACAAAATAGTTTAGTTACAATCTGACTTCATTCAACAATTGGTTACCTACTAAGCACCAAGAACTGAGAAAGGCACTGGGGACACAGAGTGAAAATGACATTGACCTTGCCCTCAAGGGGCTTACATTGTATTAGTAGGCTGACAGCATACACTTAAAAAAACAAATTGTATGTGAAATAACTACAAAGTAATTTAGACATAGAGGAAATACACAGATATCTGGGGTGGGGGAGCATCCGAAAGGGCCCCTGGCAGGAGGGAAGTCTGCGATGCTGAGAAACGGAGGTGAGAAAGGAAGGCGCAGCACGCATTGGGGTCCAGTCTGTGAAAAGGCAAAGGGACAGAAGATGGACTATTGTGGACAGAAAACAGGCAAAGGCCCTTTGGTGGGCGCAGAGAGGGGACTGGTGAATGTGACTAGAAAACAGATTTCCTAACATCTCTTGTGTTCAAGCAGCTGGGGAGTATCAGTATCACTGACCAATCATCTGGAGTCATGAAGACTTGAGTTCAAGTTCACATTCAGACTCAGGGACTTACTGGCTTAGTGGTCCCAAGTTCAGATTTCTCATCTGTAAAATGGGGATAATAATAGCACCTAGCTCCCAGGGTTGTTGTGAGAATCCAAGGAGATCATATTTGCGAAGCTCTCTGTAACCTGCAAGTGCTATATTAATGTTCACTCTGATTATTATCCAACCCTGCTCCCTTGAGCCAGGCGTCTTTTTAGTCTACTACTTAGAGCAGACGCTCATCACTTCTAGCCCAGACTATCACAGCTGTCTCTTCCAACTGAACTTTCTGCTTCCCGTTTCTCCCCAGTCCAATACGTTTGCCATGGAGAAACCAAAGTGATCGTCCTCAAGCACACAGATGACCTCGGCATTCTCCTTCTCAGTCTACTCATTGGTCCTCTATTGTTTCTAGGACCTAATATAACTTCACAGCCTTCATAGCCCGGCCCCATCTTGTCTTTCCACCCTCACCTTATAGTATCTCTTTCCTGCACCCAGCAAACTAGTCAAATGGAGCCTCTCTCTGATCCTCACACACTATAACATCATCATCTGGTTTGGTGCCTTCATAACAGCAATCCCCTTCATGCCCAGAATGCCCTCCCTCCTCATTTCCTCCTCAGAGATTCCTTCACTTCCTTTAATACTCAGCTCAGGCACTGCCTAGCTGAGTACATACACAGCCTTTTGGGGGCCTTCCCAACTAGTCCACTCCCTCCTTAACTACCTTCTACTTAATTACTTTGTAGTTTTGTATATGTATATGCACATATAGGCATACATAAACACACATGGGTGCACATGCATATATGCATTCACATACAGAAACACAGATACATAAGGGAAAAGAGAGAGACAGAGAGACAGAGGGAGAAAGAGAGACAGAGACAGACAGAGACACACAAAAAGAGACAGAGACAAAGAGAGACAGAGAAAGAGAGAGACAGAGACAGAGAGATAAAGAGACAGAGACAGAGAGAAATAATGAGACAGAGAGAGAGACAGAGATGTCTCTCCAATAGCTGTAAGCTTTTTGAGAGTAGAAATTTTTTTCATTCCATGTATTTCTATCCCTAGCACCTAGTGACTGGCCTTTATCAGTAACTTAAAACACATTTGTTCATTAATTGAATCATTAATTAATGCACCTGAAAAGGTAGGTGCAGCTAAATTGTAAAGGATTTTAAATGTCAACCAGTAAAGAATGTGAGCCCATGGAATACGGAGCCACTGGGATTTGCTGACTGGGGAGTGACATGGTCAGAAGAATCCCTATGGAAGCTGTGAAGAGGCAGGGTTGGATTTGGGGAGACATGAGGTAGGGATGACAATGAGAAGTTTATTGTAATTGTTCAAGTGGGAGAAGAAGAGGGATTAAGCTAATGTTGGGCATATGAGTGGAGGAAAGAACATAGCGATGAGAGATGCTTTGGTGGTTATCGACACCATCAGTGGCCCCAATTTAGAAATAACCTTAGACTGAACTGGTTCTACATAATCACCTTGCTACTGGGAGTTAAAGATTAGGCCAAGGGACAAGAAGCTAGGTGGCACAATGGATAGAATGCTGGGCCTGAAGTCAGGAAGAAGTGAATTCAAATCTGGCCTCAGACACTTCCTTGCTGTGTGACTCTGGATGAGTCACTTCACCCTGTTTGCCTCATTTTCCTTATCTGTAAAATGAGCTGAAGAAGGAAATGGCAAACACCTCCAGTTATCATGGCCAAGAAAACCCTAAATGAGGTCACAGATAATCCGACATGACTGAAATGATTGAACAGAGACAAAGAAACTCAAAAATGCATTGAATTGGGAGCTAAATCTGGGTTCTAGCTCTAGAACTGAGCTAGCACAATAAGAGTTCCTTAAAGGACAGGACCCATCCCCCTTTTGTCCTTGTCTCTCTTGCGGTTTGTATAGTGCCTGAAGCACAATCAGTTTTTGCTTTGTTGACTAATTGGCCAGCAAGATCTCCAGCATATCTTTCTGATTTCTTTGGGTCTCCTTTACTCTATTTTACCATCTTTATCTATCTCCCTATAGGACAGAGCTATAAGACAAAATTATTAATGCCTGAGAAGGGGCCTTGAGCTGTATGTGGAAAGGTTCTCTTTAAATTCACTGTCCCATAGAATGCCCCAGCTAGAAGGGAGCTGACTGATCCTTGAGCCTTGGCCCTTCCCCTTACTGGAGAGGAAACTGAGGCTGTGAAAAGTAAAAGGACTTCCCTGAGGTCCCACAGCCAGTACGTGACAGCCAGTTCACAGCCTGGGCTTTCCCAAGGCGAGTGTTCTTTCTCCCACATGGTGGTGCCTGCCTCCAAGGTGCTTAGATATTTACAATCAGATGACTGGAAAGCCAGTTTGACAGAAACAGAATCCCAATCCTAATTCCACATACTCATTCTGTTATAGGAGCCTTGGCCCTAGGGCATTTACAATAATCTACTGGGGATAGTGCAGACCTAGAGATTAAACAAGTGCCAAGAGGTCCTCATCATCTTGCTTATTTGTCATAAAAATATGCAAAAACTCTAATTGTGTCTGGTGTGAGGTCTTAGCCATGAAAACATTCAATGAGGTGACAGGGCTGTCATCTGGCTGGTTAATTTTTAATGATACATTGTATTCTCATTAGAGGTAGGGATTATAGTTTTAAAGTTGGAAGGCATCTTAGAGATAACCTAGTTCTAACACTTTACTTTACAGTTGGGGAAACTAAGGCCCAGACAAGTTACACAACACCTCCGAGGTCACACAGGTAGTAAATGGCCTTAGAAATTGTTGTGAAAGATGTTGGAGTGGATAGGTTGCATTTCATGACATGTTTCTCTACTTTTTTGCCTCAAAATTATAAAAGTCTTTAGGGAAACTGCAATCCAGGTTTATATATGAGCAGAGGAAACCCAGTACAAGAACTTGCTCATGCAGGGACTTCTTCTTTCTCAGTTTTGACAGAATTTCTTTGTCATCTAAACCTATGCCCTCCTCATACAGAAAAAGAAACTGAGGCCTAGAGAAGAAATGGCAGATGTAGAGGTGGTCCCTTGGAGTTCATAAGATCCTAGCTCTGAAGCTGTCCAAACATTTCATTTTACAGATGAGTAAACTGAGGCCCAGAGAAGGGAATTGGCTTGCCCAAAGTTACAAAGAGAATAAGAATCAGGATCCAGTCCTAGATCCTAAGACTCCAAATATGATGTCCCCTTAGCTCTTTTAGTTTACAGATGAAAAAAATGAAGCTTAGAGAAGGAACATAAGTTTGCCAAAGCTCATGCAGCCAGCAAGTGAGTGAGTGGTGGGCCTGGCATTTGAACGTCAAGCCTCCTGCATTCTGGAGAAGACCTTCAGGGTGGCCAAAGGCTGGCTTCCTCCAGAAAGAAGGGACTTGGGGGCCAACTTGCTTCAGACTTTATTTCAAAACTTGGCATTGCCCCTGTATGCACCACATACTCTGGTAATGAGAATCCTGGAGTGGGCAGCAGGAAATTGATGTGCTCCTGGAACTACTGAGGCCTGGCTCATTTAGGGGGCAGGAAGGTATACCCATTCTAGGCTTAGTCTCTGTTAATCAAAGAGTACTGTTAGCCTACTGCATTCTGGCTTTCTAGAATTTGTGTCAGATGCCTGGAGGAGGCCCTGGAAATTTCTTGGACAAATTGGTTCTCCCATCCTCTGCATCTTCTGGTTTCTATGTGTGTCTATACGTGCATGTGTGTTGGGTGGGGATATAGGTATTGTGTGTGTGAATGAATGTGTATGTGTTATTATGTGCATGTATGTGTATACGGGAATATATATTGTGAGGATGTATGTGGACGTGTGTGGATGTGTGTGCTATATCTTTGAAACCAAGGCCTAGGATACTAAACATGGTTTTGGTTTGTCTCTTTTTGCTTTTTCTTGACTTGTTCTAGAAATGTGAGAAAGTGAACAGCTTTAACCAAGTTGAAGTGAATGGCACTGAGCTCATCTTCACCTACGCCCTCACTTCCAACTCAGGATTATACACATGCGTTGTGACTTATCCAGAGAATGGTCGCATGTTTAACCTCACTCGAACTGTGGATGTAAAGGTGGTAGGTAAGGAGAGATCGTAACCTCGAAATCCACAGGGTTCTTCTGCCCCCATATCTTTTAGGCTGAAATCAAGACCAGAGAAAGTGAAAAGCAACGTGCACCTTGGGAAAGCACTGGATAGAGAGCCAGGAGACCAGCTGGTAATTCTTGCTCCAGATACTTGGAATCTGAGACATTCAGCTGGAAAAAGCCTCTGAGGTCATCTAGCCCAAACTTATTATTTTACAGAGAAGGAAACTGAGGCCCACAGAGGTTAAATTAAATGCCCAAAGGCATGCAGGTAATACATGGAAGATCCAGGATTCAAATTCAGGTCCTCCGACTGCAAATCCAGAGCTCTTCCTACTACCTCATAGCTACATCATAGAATATCTCAAGGCCTCTATGTCCTTAGTTATAAAATGGGGATAATGCTGCTCATGGTACCTGACTCACAAGGTGGTAAAGAGGATGTTATCTGGAAACCCTAAAGCACTTTATCAGAAGCTATTTTGTTGATATATGTTGACTTCTCATACATCAAAACACCGTAGTCAAAAATAGAGACCTGGTTCTCTACCTCGACTCCCACATTGAGCCTCACTTTTCCCATCTGGGGACAATGGCCCTCCAACCTGTCTGTCCTAAATGCCTCTATTGGTTCTTACTCAGTGTTACCATTTAATAAAATACCACTGAGTCCTTTGGAAGAAGATCTTGTGTCTCCCCCTAGACCTTGACCCCTGTTTCACTATGATTTTGGTCACAGTCTCTCTTGGAACCCCTTCATGAAAAGTTTACCAGTACCCATTGGAACATTGGGGAAAAGGAATAGGGGTGTATGCAGGGGAAGCAGGGTAGGAAGTCAGATCTGGCCCTGGGCGAGGGTGAGAAGACAACCCCAAGAAAACAAGCTAGTCTGAACAAAACAGACAGAAATTAGGGAGAGGCAGGGCACAGACAGAATGACCTTTATATCCACTGGATCCATCTGCCTTTACTTTCAATCCACTTCTGCAACTGAATAATTTGTAAGTGAAATTGAATCTGTGCCTTTTGGATGGCCTTTGTTTGCCTGGTAGTTGTATGGGAGAATGCAGAATTGACTGATTTGGTTGGACCTTAAACTTAGACCAAGAATAAAGCCTCACTTGAGGTTTTGTTTGCTTTTGGGTGGGAGGTCTGGCCCTCTGAGTCATAAGGAGGGAATTCCCTCTGCAGTGCAGATTACAACCTTCCCTGTGATGTACATAGTCTTAAAGAGCTGGCTAGGCACTGAGAGATTGACTTTATCAGTTAGCATGTATCACAGGCAATATTTGAACCTGCGTCTTCCTGGCTCTGAGGCTAGCTCTTTCTTCATCCTTGACATCAGCTTCTGGGCCAGAATTTAGATTCTGACTGAATGCCCTCCTTTTCTTTTTACCTGGGTCAGTGGCTTCAATAAACTTCAAAAAGTTCATCCTTCGGACATGGGCACCACAAATGGCACCCTTGATATTATAGAGGAAGATATGGGCAGTAATAATGCTGATAAATAACATTTGTATGGAATTTGAATGTTTACAAAGCACTTTACATATATGGTTTTATTTAGTCCTCATGACAACTTGGGAAATAAGGACTAGAAGAAGTAGGTGAAGAAACTGAGGCAAACAGAGATTAAGTGACTTGCTCAGTATCACACAACTAGTAAATGTCTGAAGCTGGATTTGAGCTCAGGGCTTCGTGACTCTAGGACAAGAGCTCTAAATCTCAGGTCTGTACCTCCCCACTCCAAACTTGCACAAGGAAGAAAGAAAGGAAGAGAGAGAGGAAGAGAGAAAAAGAAAGAGAGAGACAGAGACAGAGACAGACAGAGAGACAGAGACAGACAGAGACAGAGAGACACACACACACAGAGAAAGAGGAGGGAGGAAGGGAAGGAAAAAAGGAAGGAAGGAAGGAAGGAAGGAAGGAAGGAAGGAAGGAAGGAAGGAAGGAAGGAAGGAAGGAAGGGAAAGCATGAAACCTTCTCAAATGTCCACTTTGTGTCTAATACTGTGCTGGGTGCTGTGGATGCAAATTCAAAAATCTAACAACACCTGCCCTCAAAAAGCATGTATTTTACATTGAAATTCAGAACTGGACAGAACCTTAGTAAACACTTTCCCAACCTTTCATTTGTCTGAGCCCCTGGGAAGGGAAATAACTAATTAAAAGTTAATCCAGATATGTCTATCTTTTGTAGAATCACTGAAAAAAAAATCTGATCAATCCAAGAACAGATGGGCTAATGAGAAAGATATTCCCTTTATCTTGTTCCTTCATGTTTTTCATTTTCCCCACTGGCTCTCTTTATTTTGAAAACTCTCCTCCAGCCCATACCTTGGAGTAAGATGAACTCTTTAGAAATGTTGCTCTAAAATTGCTTTGACTTAATGTTATGCCCGGGAATTTGGGGCAAAATGATGACGGCCAAAGTCCGATAACATTTATTTGTTAAATTCTCAAAGACATTTTGAGATTCCTATTTGTAGCACAAGGATTTTTCCTCTGCTAGTTAGAGATAGTCAGTATCAGATGTATTATTCTAGCTACCAGTTGTATTTGGTAGGTGCTCTTATTTGTGGGGTTTTTTTGTAACCTCCAGGTATGTGTTCCATAATATTAATTCTTATCATCATCATCATTAATTATATATTTGTATTGTATCTGGCAACAACAAGTAGTGAGAAAGCCTGGGTTGGCTTGGGGCTTCTCTTAGGTTGTACTTAGGGCATATTCCTCCAAACCCTGATTGAATAATAGGGTTTCTCTTCTCTCTTGCAGCCTCTCCACACTATGCAACACCCCCCCACATTTTTTATCCCAATGATGACATCATTTATGAAAAGGAACCAGGTAATGATACCATTCCCCCCTTTCTCCAGGGGATGGGGGGGCATTCCAAAGCTAAGTGCCTGTAAGGCTCTCTGTGGCACATTCTGTTTGTCCTGAGATGTTTAGGCCTCCTCATCATCATCCCTAGATTGGGCCAAGAAGGTTTGTTGTTGTTGTTTTTGTTTGTTTATTCATGTGTTTCAAAATTCCCATTGTTTAATACTATTAAATTTGAAGACACAGGGAATATTGCACTTTTTTTCCAAATAATTGTGTCTAATAATGTGTATCCTTCATGATAAAAAAAAAAAAAACACACTCCTGCAGGAATAAAATGACCTTAATTATAATGTACCAAGCAAAGAAACAGCTATGATTGGCATTATGAAAAGCATTCAAACATGGTTTTGGAAACTTGGACTAATTCTGTGACATGAAGGTGAGAAGTCTAGGGCTTTGATGGTTCAGAAAAGGCAGAGATTTCCTTAAACAGTTACTTCATCAGAAACTTTGAAATACCAAGGTATAGGAAAACATTTCTGCTAATGAAGCTATCCCTTGTTCATGGTTAAAATCTACTTTAGTAGTGGTCCTCATGGTGCAAAGGGCCTCATGATGCAAATCTGATTCTTCCCTACATCTTAGTGGCAATTGACGAAGAAGATAGCAAAAACACCAGGGATATCAGGCTGATCAAGTCCAAGGGCAAATCAGGGATTCTTATTCTGACGTCCCCAGACATCACACTGAGGAGCCATGGGTACACTTCAGGGGATCCAGAAATTTGGATGGGAAAATAGATCTTTATTTTCATTAGCCTCTAACTGAAGTTTAGCATTTCCTTTATACACACATGCCCACTTGCATATATACATGCATGCATATGTATACACACACATATATGTGTAGAAAGAGTGCTAGGCCTGGAGTCAGGAAGACTCATCTTCCTGAGTTCAAATCCATCTTCAGGAACTTACTAGCTGTGTGACCCTAGGCATGTCACTTAACCTTATATGCCTCAGTTTCCTCATCTGTAAAATGAGCTGGAGAAAGAAATGACAAACCAGCCCAGTATCTCTGCCAAGAAAACCCCAAATGGGGTCACACAGAGTCAGACATGACTGAAATGGCTGAAAACAACACATGCACATATGTGTATATATACAAATACATATGCATGTTTGTACATATTCGTACGTGTATACATACCTTCACACATACATGTGTATATATATTCAGGGAAAGGACCCATAGCTTTCATCAGACTGTGAAAGAGGTTCATGTTGCAAATATGAAATAAAATAAAATAAAATAAAATAAAAAAAGTTAAGACTCTCTCAGCCAGGGCCATCTTCTGTCTGAGACCAAGGCTGGGAATGCACAGTGCTCTGAATGAGGGAGATTGTATACCTGTTATACACAACAATCCTCTTAAATAATGCATGCAGAGCATTTTGTTTATCTTAAAGCACATTAGTAAAGGGAGGCAATAAACATTTATTAAGAATTGTACATATTCCAAGTACTGTATTAAATGCTTTTCAAATATTCTCTCATTTAATTCTCATAACCACTCTAGAAGGTATGTAATAATAGGATGTTAATTTTACAGTAGAGGAAATTGAAGCTGACACATGTTAAATAACTTGTCTAGGGTCATTCAGCTGTTAAGTGTCCGAGATTAAATTCAAATTTGAATTCGAGGCTTCCTGACTCCAACTTCAGTGTTTTCTGTACCATCCAACTGCCATCAGTGTGAATTCTCCTTTTCCTTTCCTCTCCTCCCTCTTCTTCTATCTCTTTAACCTCTCCTGCCTCTTTTCCTTCCTTTTCCTGCTTCCACCTTACAGAGATAGGGGGAGCAGGAGCTCGGTGGTTGCCCACAATAGTATGATGGGTCCGGGGGATGGGCAACTGACCAGGGTCCCTTCAACTCTCTGCAGAGTTAGGACAAAGCAGTGGTGAGACAGAAGGAAGGGGAGAGACCTAGAGGAGGATGCAGAGATTCTCTTCAGGCTTCTGGGTCAAGAAATTACCATTCGTTCCCTGGAATCCAGATCTGATGTCTCCAAATTAGGGTCCTCACTTTGCTCGTCTGTAAAAATGATGAGATTGTGTTAGATGGCCCCTAATGTCTATCTCTAGCTCTAAATCTTGGTATCTATTCCATTTTTATGATCATTTTTATTGTAACTATGATTATTATTGCATGCTCATCTTTTTCAATTGAGGTCAAATGGAAATAGTTCTGGGATAAATTACTACCACACTATTATTATTATTTTACCTTTAATGTTATATGTACTGTTGATTCCATGAATGTAATAAGTCATTTCTGCTGATGAATAGAAGTGTTAGCATATAAGCTTACCTTCTGCACACTCACTGACAGCATCCCTTTGAGACAACTCCAGTGCGAAGGTCATGAAGATGACATGTGCACACTTCGTCCTCTTCCCACCCAATCTTGATTTTGATTTCTTTGGCTATCTGTCTATGTTTTGAAAGCTTTTTGCTCCATGGAGCTTGGAGATTATTAATTAATAATTATATGAACTGTTATCATAATCATCATTGATTGTTTTTAATTTGGAGTGTCACCTTTTGACAAGGACATTGATAAACTGGATCATTGAATGATATTGATAAACCACAAGAGAGAATTCAAAATTGTGTCAAGAGTAGCAGTTGGAGACATTTAGGCTGGATAAGAACAGCTATTGAGTCAGGGCTAGGGGGGAGAATACAAAAGCTGTCTCCAAGAATCACATGGGCTGTCTCATGGAGGAAGGATCATACTTTTTCTGCTTGACCCTAGAGGGATGAACAAAAAAATGATTCATACGCAAAGAGCAAATCAAGGCTTGATATCAGGGAAAACAAATCAAACCACTGACTTCCCAACAAATTAAGCTGTGAAAAGGTTGAGTGGGGCACCTCCAGAGGTAAGGGCAAAGATCAAATGGGCCAGCTCCGGGGCAGGGGCCAAAAGTCTAGTGGGTCACCTCTGGAGGTGGCAGCTTCCTCCTTCACTGGAGATTCACAAGCAATGAGGCATGACCACTTACCACAGATGTCATGCTAAGGACTCATTCTCAGATATGGTTTGAACTATAAAACACCTGAGCTCCTTTCCAATTTACAGATTCTATGTGTCTAGGCTAGTTTTCTACTGTTGTTGTGTCTTTAAAAGTTAAGAACTTTGCCACCCCTCATCCATTACCATCATTTTAGGAACATTAGTAAGAGTCCAGAATTGAACTGGGAATCCTGACCTCCAAATGGCTCCATTGAAATCAATTCACTATAATCTAGTCCTAATGAAAAGAGCAACACCCACCCACCCCGTTGTCCTGCATTGATGTCTTTAAAAAAGGATAAAAAAGCAAAGAGGTCGAGTAGGTAATGTCCAAGAACATTAGGAGGGGCCTAGGGAATAACTGATGAACAATCTTACTGATAGTTTTATTTTAAGACGGCAATCTTGAGGGGAAAAGGAGGCAAGTGGACTTTTTTGATCTGAATTTCAAGAGACTGTTTGATGGCAATATCACCTGCGGATTGAACTTAAATGCCCCATGAATTAGATGATTGCTTGTTCTAATTGTCTCAGCATCTAATCACCCAAAGAAAAAACTATGATGTGTGCAGAAAGTGTGCAAAGTGGAACCTCAATTGTTCTTTACAAATCTCTCCTAGGTGAGGAGCTTGAACTTCCCTGTAAAGTGCGCTTTCCCTTCTTGAAAGACTCAAAGAGTGAGATTTGGTGGACCATTGATGGAAGAAAGCCTGATGATACCATGAATGTAACAGTAAACCAAAGGTAATGTAAACCATACCAGATCACCTATACAAATGAATGTCTAGCGGGGGAAAGTGCTGGTCCTTATCACATTTGTATAGAACTTGAACAGAGTCATAGAGCTAATATTGTCATGTGGGTCAATGGCTATGGAATCACATGATTTCTAAAGCCTTTAGTAGTAGTGCCTTAAAGGATGTAAAGTCATTTCAAATCCTTTTTTTTTTTTTAGGCAATTGGGGTTAAGTGACTTGCCCAGGGTCACAAAGCTAGTAAGTGTCAAGTGTTTGGTCTGAGGCCAGATTTGAACTCAGGTCCTCCTGATTTCAGGGCCGGTGCTCTACCCACTGTGCCACCTAGCTGCCTCTCAAATCCCTTTAAATATGAGCTGGGTTTAGATCATAAATAAATGAATGTAAAAGTTTTAATTGGGTCTGTTAATAGTGAAAACCCAATCCTCTCTCTTTATAAATAGGATTCCATGTGTCTATAATTATGGTTCAGTCCCCTGTATTTTGTTCCATTCTATTTGTAGGTAATTTTTTTTCATCTTTCTGAATCTGTATTTTTACCTTTGTCAGTTTCTCCTTTTCATCTACCCTCAAGTCTTTCTTATTTAAGTTTTGACCACTTTGTCCCTTTGTAAGTCAGTAAAAACATCCTAGAGAACTAATTTTCTTAATAAACTAGGTTAGGGGTTTGAAAAGGAGAGCTTACACATCCAATTCTTAATTTTAAAAGTTGATGAGTAAGAACAGAATAAATTGCTAACAAATTTTAAAAAATCTAGGTTGGCTTTTCCCCATTCCTATTTCATTCTATCCCTTCCCACTATGAGTCACAAGCTCTGAATAGAGGGGGGGAAATTCCCATTCCCAGCTCTAAATGATAGACAATGGAGTTCAATTGCATGTATTTTGAAGACAATAATAAAGCTGAATTCATTATTAGTCAATGCTGAGACCTTCCTCTGTTCCTGTGTCCACATTAATGACATCAGGTAATTCAGTTTATCAGGTTCAAATGTTTGTTATTGTTGTTCAGCCATTTCAGTCATGTCCTCTTTCTTGTGACCCCATTTGGGGTTTTCTTGGCAAAGATACTGAAGTGCTATTTCCTTCCCCAATTCATTTTACATACTGGGGATTCACTTTTTTTTTTTTCATCTGCAAAGTTCTTACTCAAATTCCTAGTCTCATATTTCTATTTTTCATTATTGTCTCCACTGAAAGAGAGAAATAGTCTAAACTAAACTTGAGTTTATTTGACAAAAAAAAATCAGCAAATATTTAATCTCACAAGGGGGTTACCACTAGTCCTGCACAGAATTTGGTCTCTATTAAAGCAAACCAGAGCTTACTGATTTTTTTAATTGTTTGTTTTCAAAGGTTATTTTACCAGCACACATTCAGTAGGACAGGTGCTTAGAAGACTTTTTCTGCAATGCTTCTGAGTCCAGGCTGAACCAATAATTTGATTTGTACATCTGGGGAAATGTTTGCCATGTTTGTAACGTACAACTGCATGACAAATGCCTGGCATGACAGTCAAGATGATTTAGGCCTGAATCTTACTTCTAATGCTCACCGGGTGATTTTAGGCAAGTCATTTAATCTTTCTGAAACTCAGTTTTTCCACCTAAAAATAAGTATAGTAAAATCCATAGTCCCCACCTCACAGGACTGTTAAAAAGATCAAATGCAGTGCTTGCTACCTAGAACTTTACAAGCAAACTGTGTAAAGAAAGGACACCCATTATTTTCATCCAAATCTCCACCCTGCTTCCCTATGATCCTTAGCTAGAATTTGTGAAATGGCTACCCAGAACTAGGTGTATAGAACGTGAACATGGAATCAAAAACTAGAGGCCGCATGTATATCTTGTTTTCCAGTGATAAATGCATACTTTCCCTCCAGAAGCAGTTTTGTTTTATGTACCATGATTTCTCTTCCTCCTCCTGCCTGTCCTATGACTGAGAAACCAGCCTCTTCCCCAAAACCTGGCTATTTTGAACCATTCTCTGTTTAGGATAGCTTGTACTCCAACCAAACTCTGTCTTTTTTAATTTTCAGAACACCTTCTTACTAACCACGCTTCCCTCATCTTACACTTAAAACTTTGATCATTTGTTCCCAAGTGAAAAAAAAAGTTACATTTATAATATTGAACTGCCATTAGATCCAATCAAATCTTCTAGTGATCAAGATCTTGGGGTCTTGATTCAGTAATACATTGTTTTAGCTCTCTCTCTCAACCTTGTGTCATCTGACAATGTGATGAGTATGCCCTCTATGCCTTAATCCAAATCATGATGAAACTAGCAGCATCTAACTTAAACTTCTAGACACATTGACTGGGGACCATTATTAATAATTCCTCCTTGAATCTGGCCACCCAACCACCTCTGAATGCATCTTACTATCTTTTTATCTTCTCCAGAAGGGTAGTATGAAATACCTTATTAAAAAAAAAAAACTTTGCTATAATCAAGGTAACTCTCTTTACAAAGAACATCTTCTGTCCTAAAGGATGGGGAGCATCCCTTAGATCTCACCATTTGGGCCCTGGAATGTAGCTTGTCTGATACTATTTCTCTTGCTTTGACAAACCAGCCACTGGTGAAGCTTGCACTTGTCCCTTGTGCTTTTCTCTCTTCCTGGATATCTTGGTTATTTGTGGAGGTGACTTTTCCCAACTCCCGCCCAACAAGAGATTATAAATGTCTTTAGGAAACCATCTTTGTTGGATCTCTCTTTGTGCCACCACCTTCTAGCTTCATGTCTTAAACATAATAAGCAAGGTTGCTTCTAACCTCAACATTCAGTTGAAATTGCTCTCTCCATAACACAATGATCAAGGACTTCATAATCGCCAATTCCAGTGGTCTTTTCCTAATCTTCCTCCTTTTTAATGTCTCTGTAGACTTTGCCTTTGCTAAGCATTTCGCCCTTGTGGGAGGGTATACTCTCTTATCTTTTTGCTGCATTCCCATAGCATTCCCAGATAACTGATGCTGTCCTCCCAAGGTTCTGTTCTGGGCCCACTTCTCTTTTATGTCTATATTCTTTCAGTTGGTGACCTTCTGAATTTTAATAAATTCAATTGCTATCTTTAGGCAAATGATCTCTGTGTCAGGTTATTCAGCCTCAGTCTCTTTCCTGGGCACTTTTCCTATATCACACCAACTGTTTGTTGAACATTTTGAACAGGATGTACCATATGTATGTAAAATAGATATATCTAAAATAGAATTGGTTATCTCCCCTCTTCTCAACTTTCCTATTACTTTTAAGGGCATCGTTATCTGTTCAGGCACTCAGGCCCACAACACTGACATCATCCTTAACTCCTCTCTCTTATTCATCCAACATATCTAGTTTCCAAATCTTGGAATTTCTTCACTGTACAACATGTCTCACAAATGTACTCATATCTCTTCTTCCTCAGACACTACCTTTACTTTTTCCCACTTCATAATATTTTTTTCAAATTATATGTAAATATAGTTTTCAACATTCATTTTTATAAAGATTTTGAGTTCCAAATTCCTCCCTCCCTTCCTTCCCCCCTCCCCAAGAAAGCAAGAAATCTAATATAGGTTATGCGTGTACAATGATGTTACACATATTTCCACATTAGTCATGTTTTGAAAAAAACTAAGAGTAAAAGGGAAAAAAATAAAACATGAGAAAAGAAAAAAGAAGTGAAAATAGTATGTTTCAATCTACATTCAGAGTTCATAGTTTTTTCTGTGGATGTGGATAGCATTTTCCATCATGAGTCTTTTGGAATTGTCTTAGCTCATTGTATTACTGAGAAGAGTTACATCTATCAAAGTTGATCATTACACAATGTTGGTATTACTGTGAACAATGTTCTCCTGGTTCTGCTTACTTCACTCAAAATCAGTTCATTTAAGTCTTTCCAAGATTTTTTTTCTGAAATCCACTAGCTCATCATTTCTTATAGAACACTAGTATTCCATTATATTCATATACCACAATTTGTTTAACCATTCCCCAATTGATAAGCATCCCTACAATTTCCAATTTGTTGCCACCACAAAAAGAGACGCTATAAACATTTTTGTACATGTGCGTCTTTTCCTATTTTTTAGGATCTCTTTGGGATACAGACCTAGTAGTGGTATTGCTGGATCAAAGGGTATGCACAGTTTGGTTAACCTTTAGGCATAGTTCAAAATTGCTTCAGGGATGGTTGGATCAGTTCACAACTCCACCAACAATGCATTAGTGTTCCAATTTTCCCACATCTTCTCCAACATTTATTATTTTCCTTTTCTGTCATATTAGTCAATCTGATAGGTTTGAGGTGGTACCTCAGAGTTGTTTAATTTTCATTTCTCTAATCAGTAGTGATTTAGCACATTTTTATATGACTATAGATATCTTTAATTTCTTTATCTGAAACTGCCTGCTCATATCTTTTGACCATTTTTTCATTTGAAGAATGACTTGTATTCTCATAAATTTGACACATTTCTCTATATATTTTAGAAATGAGGCTTTTATAAGAAACACTGGCTGTAATTCCTGCCCACCCCTCCACAACTTTCTGCTTTACTTCCAATCTTGGTCACATTGTTTTTGTTTGTGCAAAATCTTCTTACTTTAATGCAATCAAAATTATCTATTTTTTTCATTTCATAATGTTTTCTATCTCTTGTTTGATCATAAATTCTTTCTTTCTCCGTATATCTGACAGGTAAACTATTCCTTGCTGTCCTAATTTGCTTATAATGGAACCCTTTAAGATTTTTGTATAAATCATGTACCCATTTTGATTTTATTTCGGTATGGGGTGTCAGATATTGGTTTATGTCTAGCTTCTGCCATAATATTTCCTAATTTTACCAGCAGTTTTTGTCAAATAGTGAGTTCTTAACCCAGATACTGGAGTCTGGGTTTATCAAACAGTAGATTACTGTAATCATTTACAACTGTATCTTGTGTACCTATTCTATTCCACTGATCCACCACTCCATTTCTTAGCCAGTACC